TTTTTTTATAGTAAACTATTAAAGCAGAAGTTGATTTAAAAAAATTAAGTTTTACATGTTTTTTCTTGTGGTTTTATATATACAAATATATATACAAACAAAAAAAATTTTAGATATAAAAGGATCTCCAAACATCAATAGTTTTAGAAATAACATACTTTTTTGGCCTTAACGCTATTTTGAAGTGTAAATAAAATTGTCGCGAAATTCACGGAGTTTTACTTTTTTTATCATTATGCACATTGAAAGCCTTTCTTAACCCTTAGTTCTATAAATTTACCTTTCCTATACTCTAGTATCACTAATATATATGCTTGAGTGTATATAAAAAAAAAGTTTTTTATAAAAAAATGACACTCACTAACAAAATAGTCAAACATGATTAATATGATAAAATTTCAAGAACTAAAATGCGTTGAACAAAATTTTTCTCTAAATAAATTTTATTATTATGAAGAACAAAATGTCTAAATTTCAGCTTTTTTGCGTAATTATCTATTTTTATTTTTTTAATTTAGTAATAAAAAAAAAACTTATACAATAAATCTTGATAATTTTGATGAAAGTTTGTTGAAAAGGTTATTCACCAGGCCCCTCTATGCTGACGAATATAAAAACACAGACGAGTATCTCCACATTTTTGAGTTTTGAGATAAAACGATTAAAAAAAAAAACTTAAGGAAACAGCATTTAAATAGACTTTTACTGCTTACGTTTTTCTACGCAACTTTTTTGATTATAACAGCTTTCAATAAAGTTTTAAAACATTATTTTGAGGTACATAACATTATTTTGAGGTACATAACATTATTTTGAGTTACATAACATTATTTTGAGGTACATAACATTATTTTGAGGTACATAACATTATAATATTTCAAAACCTGAAAACAAAATAATTCAAACCTGGCGAATTGTAGCTCTAAAAGCTTTTTTTTTATGTTGTTTTTCAAAGCATTGATTGATGGAGCGTTCATTGCTGCTTGGGAAAGCGCATTTCATGGGAAAACAACTCTATTTGAAAAAAAGGTATATCGTTCTTCACAATTCCTTACTAGCTGGCGTTCTGGTTTATGGTTATGGTCTCTCAAAAATTCACTTGGCTTTAGTGTTTGAAAGTTTTTGCGGGGCAAAAAAACTAACAAGGTCGAGTTGACGAGTGATTTTAAATTGCTTGATAAAGTCTACTCTTTCGTGGTGTTGTTAGACGAGTGGTTAGAGTCAATTTTCATAGGACAGGTGTTTAATAGATAATATTGTTTTTGTTGCTTGAAGTTGGACTTGATGTCAGACTTTAAATGCGGTGACACAAGGTTGGAGCGAATCTAAATGAGATGCAGGATGTGCCATAAATAAAAGCTGCGACTGTGAAATATTTTTTTAAGTTGCCCGAAAATTCTATTTGCTATTGATGCGGCTAACTCCACTTGTGGTCTGACGTTAAAATAATTAGAGATCATCATACCAAGGTCTTGTTTAACTATAGTCTTTTTGAGTTGACAACAAAGTTAGCCCCGACGACAAACATGCATTACTTTGCAATTCTAAACGTTAAAATGCATGAACTAAATAAGTGACCATTCCACTGTTTGGTATCTGCGATAAACTGCTTACGTCATGATGTCCCAAATTTCTAACAGGTTTAAAACGCAACCCTTAAAATGAAGAAAACTATGCTGCTTTGGAGTAGTTAAGCCATTAGCAACGCAGTGTTCCATTATGCTTGTTTTAAAAATACTTTCCATCATTTTGCGTGGAATAGATGTGAGCAAGATAGGCCTGTAGTTTGATGAATCTAGTTTACTCCTCTTCTTGAAAATACTCGTTACATTTTCTCCACAAGATGCAAATTACTCCATTCCACAAGTTGCGAACTACTCCAATATTCTAAGTGGTTGAGGCACTTTTGAACTATATCGTTAAAAAAAGTTGCAGGGTCGGCAATAAAAGTTGCTTTAGTACGACTTTTAAAAGGCTCCAATATAAAAACCGATTGAAAATAGTTATTGAACAATGAACATATATCACCGGTATTGGTAGTGATGTTGCTATTATTTGTTTCTAGCAATGTAATAGTGTTCCTGATGCTCTGTTGATTCGTACATGTGCATGTAAGTGTCTAGGGTTACTTTTAGACTAGCGAGTTTTTCTTTGTAGTTGTAGCGGATATCGTTACATGCTCGATGTATCTTAGGGCGGTATTTTATCTTTTTTTGTAGATTTGAACATTTTACTCGCCTTCGCCTAAGAACAAAACAAACTTTGCGAGTTATGCGGTTTATATCTGGTACGCATTTTATATCAATTTTAAAACAACAATTGTAGATATTATTTTAAAAATAATAAAAAAAACTAGCTGTCTAAAACCATAAAACAGGTCAAGTTATGTCTGTTTTGCACCTATCAATTTATATTTATTATTTATAATGTCACTTTACTTCAATAATTTGTTAGTAAACGGTAGAAAAAAGTTGTTTTTTTAAGATTAAAGTTTTTTATAAAGATCTATCTCCAAACGTGTAATCGGCCGGTTAGAAGAGTTATTTTAATTAAAAATAATCAAAATTTAATTCAAGAACTTTTACCAAAATAATAAAATGTAAAACAAAAATATTTAATTATATAAGTATATTTATTTTTTGAAAAAACAAATATTTTTACACATTTACTTACAAATTATCAAAATACAACAATAGTAAATTTTGTACACCTTTATCTTTGATTATATAATCTAAAAAAATGTAATTCAAAATATCAGGGATTCAAAATAAGAGTCATGGTTCCAAAACAATCAATAGTATACTTGTTATTTAAATTCTATTTCAATAGGTTTTAGTAAATGGTAAAACAAATTAATAATTTAAAACTTAAGTTAAACCATTAAAATTATTATGCATAAAATTAGAATAAAATGAATAAATTAAATGAATAAATTAAAAACTATAAAATAAAATGAATAAATTATATATCTTCATAAAAATTATTAAGCAATATAACGAAATACGCAAAAAATCTTTTTAACGAATAGCAAAAGTTTACTAATTAAAAAAAAACATAACAATTGTCAACTTTGTTTTTATATATTGGGTAAATGCGTTATGATAAATCTGAAGCAAAAACGTAATGAATATATGATATAATATATTTAAAAAAAAAACATCACATTTAAAAATTGGAAATCAATTTACCTGTTTTATTTATGGTAACCTTTTGTGATATTGAAGTAAATTCTATTTATTGAAAAGATAACTATAAAATCTGTTTCAAAGATCAAAAGCAATAAAAATACTAAAGATAGGGAGTTTAGGCAACTTTTATAGCGTATTTATTTTAGGTGCATTAAATTCCCTAAATATATTTCATTTCCAAAATGGTTTCAACCACTTCTGCAGCTTATTTAGTAATAAATAATAATAATTTAATAATAAGATATACGTGTTTTAATATTTTATATTCATAGACCTTTTATGAAATATTTTCGTAAAGTATCTCATCAAATTTTTGGCACCGAAAAAAAAGTTTTTTTAATAATATTTTTTTTTCTTGCGTAAAAACCTTTCGCGTTAACAATCTTTTAATAAAACTTTATTAGAAATTAAATTGTAAATCAAAATTATTTAAACAATTTATGAATATAATTTATAAATTTTTATAACATGTTTTAAACTTTTTTTAAATAACTTATATTTTTTAATGGTTTAATTTATAATAGGTTAAGCGTAACAAAACTTTGAGGAGAAATATTAATTTACATTAACTTTTATTTGAACTTTCTTTAATATTTTATCAACGATGTAAAATAAGAAAAACAAAGAAACGTAAAACAATCTTATTTTACGTCCTTGATTTTATCAAGTAAAAATCCTGTTTTAATATAAATTAATCCGAAAACATAAAAATACGTGTAAAATAAGGTTAAAACTAACTTTATTACACAAATAAAAAAATGTTAGTCAACGATTTGTTAATAATTTCAGTATTATCATAGATTCAAAAAAAAATTTAACCGCTTAGAATCTGTTGTTTAGACTAATTTATTATTTTCCCCACCAATGATAATATAAATAATTTTCTTTTTTTTAATAGGGTTAGGGTTTTATTTTAAAATTTTTGTTTAGAATTTTAGGGTTTTGAATTTTTTTAAAAACAATAAACGAAAAACTCGTAGAATTGTTTTATTTGATATTTAAAAAAGAATGTGGATTAAAATTTTATAAATTTCCATCAGGAAAAACGCCTTTTGAGAAAAGAAGGCAAATAGACTGGATTAAAGCTATTTAATCGTAAGGATTGGGACAGTTGGGAAAGTGAAAAGATTAGTAAAGAACGAGTCTGCAGTGCACATTTTGTATCAGGTATGTTCTTTTAATGAATTAAGTTAGCTAATAAAACTATACTCGTAGTAATACGTTTAATAAGGTTCTTTAAATTAGTAATTTATAATATTTGGTACATTTATTAATTCAATTAAATATTATATTTTATTATAATCTTTAATTAAATTAATATTTAATTAAATATTATAGTTGTTATATTTTAGGGAAACGTTCTGATGACCCATCTGACGTTGACTGGAGTCCATCTGTATTTAATCACCTTGGAGATGCTACGATTTCTAGTTTGATTAAAAAAAGGAAGAGAAAAGATTGCTATAAAGCTTTATGTAAAAAACGATCTTTCAAAAAATCAATACTGCCATCTAGCCAATCAAATGATAAAGAGCTTGATAACTATAAAGATAATATAAACAATGACATAAATCCACCAAATGACAAGTCAGCTATTTCTAAATTTTGTCAGCATGATACTTATAAAGTAGAGGTGGAAACTCTTAACTTTCAGTTAATGCAATACAGAAATGAATTGATCGAGAAATCTAATGAAATTATTGAACTTAAAAAAAAGAATGCCTGACTAGACCATAATAAATATATTTCATACCAAAACCTAACAGATGAACAAATGATTTTTTTTTTTCAGGCTTGTCTCGAACTACGTTTATGTGGCTCTTTGAAAGAGTTAAAAATTATATTAAAAAAGTTCACTCAAGGTTATTGTTGGAGGACCATCTCTTAATTGTACTCATAAAACTAAAATTAGGTCTATTAAATAAAGATATTGCTTTTCGATTTAGACTAAGCCCAGCAGTAGTTTCAAAATTTTTCAGAACAATAATACCAATTTTTTCTGCTAGAGTTGTTAATCTCATTGTTTGGCCAGACCGTGGAATAATAAGGAGTAACCTTCCTATATGTTTTAAAAAAAAGTTCAAAGATTGTGTTTGTATTATTGATTGTACTGAAATATTTATTGAAAGGCCAAAAAATTTAACTTCACGATCACAAACTTGGTCTAATTACAAACATAACAATACCATTAAATATCTTATTGGTATTACTCCAGCTGGGGCAGTTAGTTTTTTATCTCCTGGCTGGGGTGGTCGTGTTTCAGACAAACAAATAACATTTGAGTCAAACTTTTGTCAGAAGCTTTATCCTGGTGACTGCGTTCTTGCTGACAGAGGATTCAATATTAGAGATGAACTAAATGCTGTTGGGGCAACGTTAAAAGTTCCAGCATTTACAAAAGGTAGACAACAGTTATCTGGGTGGGAAGTGGATACATTTAGACAGATATCTAATGTTTGCATACATGTAGAAAGAGTGATTAGTCGAATAAAAAAGTTTCGTATTATTCATATGACTGTGCCAATCATCCAAGTGGATTTGTTAGATGATATTATGATTATTATTTGTGCTCTTGTAAATCTCAATATGAGTTACTTGATTAATGTAAATGTAAAAATAAATTTACAGAGAAGCAATTTTTACAGTTTTAAAATCTAAATACATACTAAAGGAAAGTAATATTTGTTCTGGTTTATTGCTTGGTTTTACATTCTTTGCCTAACCAATTAGTATTTTGTGGAGCTCTTTTCAGTCCAATACAAGCGCAATGAAACCATTCATATTTGCAGTTGGTAAAATTGCATGGTATAATTTTTCTAAAATTATACCATGGTCTTTGGCATATACAGTAAACTTTCCTACTATTTATTGTCGATTTATCATTACGACGTGTTACAAGCTCTGGCAATAAAATGTTTTTGAAATACATAAAAAAATTATCAATCATTTTGAGAATAAGATCTGTATCTTTTTCAATTGTTAAAATAAAACTTTGTTCACCTTTAACTGCAGGGGAGAATACAAGAAAATCAGCCTCAGAACAGAGACATACATGTAGTTGTAATTGAATTTTGTAGTAATATTTGTGATCCTTTTTTATAATGAGATCTTTATTGATTGGAAAATCTTTATCTTCTTCCCATCCTTCAAAGCCATTTTGATATTTATAAGGACATTTGATCTCTAAAATTTTAGTTTGATGACAACTGCATCTAATCAATGCATCTGGAGAAGCTCCAATGAAGGGGTATTGTTCTCTCACATGAAAACCAGTATCTAAAAATTGGAAATTTATATATTTTTATATATAATTTACTATATTTTACTTTTTCAATATAATATTTTCGTGCAACATGTTCCGTTTCTGTTCCATATTGTGTGTACTTATTAACAGAATTTTTTGCATAATAAATAATATTTTTGACCAATGATTCACTTGATATTTAGTTTGTGTTAGAATTGTATACTTCTTTTGCATTTGAAGCTGTTATACGCCCTGCACGGTGCATCATCCAAACAGGATTCAATGATTGTGGTTTTGTTTGGTTGCGTAAGTTATTATACTGCCTTTGATTATTATCTTTTTTATAATCGCTATATATACTTTCGCAAAAAATGATCAACTTATCCTTAGATAAATTTATACTTGTTGGATCATATATTGATGTGAGAGTTTCAGGAAGTGTTGCCTCTTCTGTCTCAGATGAAGTTTCAGTAACACTAGAGTCATATTCAACAGACATAAATTCTGTAAGATTATTACTTGTAAAAATTGCAGATTTTGGGTTAATTTTAAAAAGTTTTTCCATCTCTTGAGCTGTTAACCGGTGCTCACCATCCATTGGATTATTGTTGGAAAAGTATTTTTTTAAAGGTAGCTTTGCAACCAAATCTTTTTGTAAAATATTTTTTTGAGTTCGCTAAAAATTTATGAGCTGCAATGGAGCAGGCTGAACACATTTTTTGCATTTCTTCCAAGTACACAAGATACTTGTAGGAGGTGTTTCGTGTAATTTTAAACGTGAAGCTGCTTCTAATTTAAATAATAATGCTGCTACATGGCTACAAGCTGATCCTAGTCCAACCATACATGAACAATTAGCAGTTAGTACCCAACCAAGTTCTTTCTCAAGACAAGTCCATACATCATACATATTTTTGTTGTTTTATCTTTGACTTGGCAAGACCTATTACAAAAAGATTATTTCTATATAAAAATTATTATTTATTCGTCTCTAGTAAAAATTTATTTTTTAATTATATATTAAAAATAACCTTTGATTTTATAAACAGAATTTGCTCCTATTCGATATTTTATTATAAAAACATTCTTGAACATGACCACAAGTCAAGTAATCATATGGTTCCAAGGATTTATAGGCTCTGATTGATTCCTTCGTGTATATGCTAGGTGTATCGATTAAATATTGAGTAACGTCTTGCCATGTAATGTTTGGCAAATGATTGAGATCGTTGCTCCATTCTTTTGGTTCAATTATAAACGGATCCGGTAAAACTTCCCCATTTTTAAGAGTTAACTTCTTTGTGTATTCTGTTGCTTCTTCTAATTTTAGACTTTTAAAATATTCACTATCATATTGTTAACTATTTTGAAAAGTTGACTTCTAAAAACAGAAAAAACTTATAAGAAAAATCGCAAGAGCAACAGCTATTTTTAAACTCAAAATGAGTTTAAAATTTGAACAAGAACATCTGTTTTAAAATTTTTTAAACAAAAGTTTTTAATAACAATAAAAACTTTTATCACCAAAATTTATATGAAATATTTGTAATTAATTTTAATTATTATTTTTTTAATAATTTTTTAAAGAAAAAATTAATTTTAGGGTACAAATATTGATTTTAGGGTAGAAAAGAAATACAAGAAACACAATTAAGTTATTGCGTTTTTATTTTTTCTAACTGCAAGTATGCGCGCGCATGTTGTTTACAAAAAGACGTGACGTCGCAAGGAAACTCATCTATATCTAGAAAACTTGTAGTAGAGGATACATTAAATTTCACATACTGCTTACAAATATATGCTCAATACCTTTTTCTGAAAAATACAATCTGCATTTAAATACCAAAATTCAAAAATTACTTAAGATCTATTCAAGCAATCGTAAACAGTATGTGCAATTTGATGTATCCTCTACTACAAGTTTACTAGATATAACATGTAGTAGAGGATACATCAAATAACTAGGAGCACTTCTATTTCTCAATTATATCTATAATGCCTTAAATTTAAAACCAGTAATGATTGCTGATGGAACAAACTTTTTTCTGTCTAGCAATAATATCATAACAATATTTAATGACATGAACAGGGAGCAAATTAAAATTTCCAAATGGTTTAAGTCAAATAAGTTATCAATTAGCGTAGAAAAAACTAAACGGACCCAAAATCCAAAAATATCTTTTGCCAAATAATATGTCTCAAATATATATAGATTATATTCAAACAAAATAATCAAAAGTTATTTTTTTTCTTGGTGTTCTTATTGATGACAATCTTACATGGAAAAATCGTATTGAAACTTTGCGCAACAAAGTTTCAATAAATATTGGAGTATTATACAAAGCGAGAAGTTTTGTAAATAGACACGCATTAATTCAACTTTATTACCCATTTATCCAATACCATATAAGTTTTTCAAATACCGCATGGGATAGACTAAAAGAAGTCAATTACATCCTTTTTATCGGCAAAAAAAGCATCTAGCACGACTATTAAACTTTAAAGATTGTTTTACTCTTGCAAAACCACTTTTATTCGCAATGAATATTTTAAATATATACCAATTGTTTTTAACGTTCTTTACTTTATATTTAAATGTAAGAATTTTATTTATCAACATTATTCGCATACTAATTTTGGAAGGTCTCTTAAGGTGAGTTTCCACTCATCCGTTTTTTCACGGGAACGGGATAGGAAAGGTAAAAATATTCACGTGAGCATGCGTAGTTTTCCTTCGGACATATTAAAACTTATACTACGCATGCCCACGTGATTATTTTTCCCGTCCCTTTCCCGTTCCCGTAAAAAAACGGATGAGTGGAAACTCGCCTTTATATCTTATTGCGGAGCTTTTCTGTGGAGCCAAATAGCTTTTAAAAATCTTGATTTTTCTTAAAGTTGGAATTTTTCTTCTTTCAAAAATAAACTGAAAAAAGTTATTTTCTCAATAGATAATAAAATCGAGTTCTTCTGATCTTTATTAGTGTTATCTAAATGTGAATTAAAATATTTGATTTTTATTTGTTATTGTTTTGTTAAACGGTGTTTTATAAATTGAGATAAATTACCTTATTAGTAAGTAGGTTTTCGAAAACCTTCTTACAAATAAGGTAATTTATTAAGTTTAAGAAATTTCTTAAACGGTATTTACTTTCCATTTTATATTTTTTGAAATAATAGATTTATTATTATTGTATTGTTAAACAGTTCTCGGTGACAGGGTTGTACGATCCTCTTCGAGTTTCCGTGTTCTTATATATTATGTACACAGTGCCGAATCAAGGGGGCTAGGGGGCTATAACCGCAAATTTAGGGGCCCACAAAAATATTAGAGGAACTTTTTTATTTTATTTTATATAGTCATTTTTAGGCTCTGGCCCATAAAAAGGCCTCCAAAAACAAAAATAGCCCCGGGCACCAAGAAGTCTTAATACGCCACTGTATGTACAACGACATTTAATCAGAAAATATCGTTAAAAGAAAAACAACAAAAAGAAATACCAGGTACAGCTATCACCTAGGACAAATTAAATCACGGCAACAAAGTTTTTTAATTACAAACCGTGGTCCATCAATATGGAATCATTTCCAAAATAAAAATATTAAAGACCTAAAAAGCATTTTATCGTTTAAACGGCAAACTAAAATGTATCTTCTAAATTCCTGACATATATTCCTTCGGGCATTTGTTATTTACGTAAGAATGTTTAGAAGACGCTTAAAATACATTTAGAACTTAACTTTTAAAAACAAATGCCCGCTGGGATATTATAGTTTACAGTATTTGTTGTTCAGATTTTTGATAATTTTTCTGTTATTTTCTTTTCTTATTTGTTTTAATACTTTTTATTTTCAATTTTTTACACTAAATATATATATATATATATATATATATATATATATATATATATATATATATATATATATATATATATATATATATATATATATATATATATATATATATATATATATATATATATATATATATATAATATATATATATATATATGAGCTTTGTTTTATTGAATTTTTAATTTATTTTACAAACTAAAGCGTTTTTTTTAATGAGTGACTGAAGGGGCTCTATAAAATATATTTTTTTATTTCAGTGTGTTCAGCACACAAAGCCGACGACACCCAGTTTTTTTTTTTTTTTTTAGAAATCTAGACTTTTTTTAGAAATTGACAATTGAGCCCCTTGACTTCGAAACCCGTATCGACAGCCCTGGCACACATATAAAGTTCTGTTGAATTTAAATCTTAAAATATTTACTTGCAAATTTTTTGCAAATCATTTTTTTTTATTCCCAATAGAGTAATTTTTTAGTGTATTTATAAGTAGTTATGGATATTTTAAAATCTATTATGATGCCAAATTTTATTTTAATTCAAATAAAGTATCTATTACTAAATTGCAAGTTTTTTTTTGTTTGTTTTTTTTATATATATTTGCTCCTAAATAAGAATCGGCTTTTCACTAATGCATGATTCACATAAATATTACATCATTTACCTCGTTTTCGTGTAGTATTTAAACTAATTATTTCCCAATTATAACTAAAGTTACGCAAACTGCACAATGACGTCATTAAAGAGTCTAAGTAAAAATATTTTTAAAAAATACTAAATTTAATCAATTAAATTTTAAATAAAATTTTTGTCATTTTTTTAAATGCAAGAGGCTCTAAATTAGGTTTTGAATGATTTAAAATATAAGCTAAAAAACCGTTGCTAACTTACATTTTAACTTAAATACAAGAAAAATACTCAAAGACACAAGATAATATTTATAAATGATATTTACAGATGATATTTACAACTATTTCAAACTTAAAAAATATTTGCCTTAAATTAATGATTCAATTTGAATACCTTTTTTTCTTACATATTTAAGTAGATCAGGCGTGGAGTGGGCCAAGTCTTTAGAGTTTTTTAACTTTTTCCTACATATAAAGTTTATCAACGATTTCGGTGATTTTTGTACTGGTAAAATAACTTTATATAAGTTTCCAACTGACCCAAAACTTTCTAATCGTTTTTGAGGATCAATATAATTTACATTGTTTTGAGGCATGGAGTGAGACTTAATTTTATACCACTCTTTGAGTTTGTTTGTTTTGACTCGAGGTTTTTGATCCATTACATTTTTAGAGTTCAACTTTTCGTAAGTTTCCGAATCATCAGATAGCAAATCATTATCAGAAAAATAACCAGAAGTTCTTGTACAACTTGTTAAGTGACTATCTAACGATTCAGTAGAGTTGGAACTGTTTAGACGTTCGTTGCTTAATTTACTGGTAGCAATGTTCGACAAAAACTTGGTATCATTCAGTACATGCCAATCAAAAAGTTCTTCATCCTCGGAGTCTATGTAAGCATTCCTGGTAGGGTGTAGGGTGGTAAAGTGGTTGTTACGCTCTGTTAGTTGAATGCCTCTATTTACAGATTCCGAGCTTTTATCAAATGGAAACGTAAATGCCCTTCGCGAGTGTTTTAAAGTATATTTTTCATTACACGCTTTACTTTCAATTTTATTTTCATCTAAGTTAATTTTATACTCGCAGTGTTTTGAAACTTTTATAGCTTTCTTTAATTTTTGGTTAAAAACTACAAATGTAGATTTCTCTTTCATTCGATTTTCGTTTGATTTTTTTTGTTTAACATTACAACATAGTTCTGGAATAATATTGCATACTTTCCGTCTGACGCAGGCATGCTCATTGTTTTCATCAATAACATTTTTCTCACTGTAGTTTCCATTTAATTTTGAGATATGCAGTTCATCACGTAGAAACTCATCATGTAGAAAACGTTTTTCTAAAATTTGTTTAGCTACATAGCTTAAAGGCATATATAATAAATTTGATTCACTATCCATAACTGTTTCGCCTTCTTCTATCATATTAATTTTAAAAGCGATTGCTTGTTTGGATGTTATATTACTCCCCATGATTAAAAATAACCAATAAATGCACATAAAAATGTAATAATTTATTCAATTAATGCACAGAATTTTTAATTGCCGGTTAATATTTCCTTTACTTAAAGCTTTCACTTAAGATCACCGGAGACTAATATTAAGGTTTCAATACTTGCTAACTATTTATTATTATTATTTGTTAACAACTGTTACTAGTTGATAACATTTTTTGCATAATTTTTAGTTATAATAATATTTTTTTAAACATTTTTTAATTTATAACTATTTTATCATTTTTGGTTAGATTGGAAATTATAACAATGATAATAGTCCAATGACGAACAATAGCTTTATTTGTGCCAATGAATATAATATAGCTAGGAATTAAAATACATGAAATGGCTATTTTAAGAACAAATCAGTTTTTTTTATTTGTGACATCACAAAACTATCTGCTTGTTAAATGCTTTGTATCGATATAGTGATATATGTATCATTATAGTGATATATGTATAAAAATAATTCTTGTTCATGAATAAACCGCACGCGCAAAATTTATGATGATGTCATATAACTGATTTAGAAATTTTTTATCCCTTAAAAAAACATTTATTTACTATTGCTTAATTTAATTGTAAATTTTATTTAAGATAAACAATGCAAAATAAACTGTTTTGTGCTTTTTTTTTCTGTATATTTAAAAAATACTCATCATTATTGTTACTATTATTGTTGTTACCGTTATAAATAATAATGATATAATAATAACAACAATAATAACAATAGTATCATTTAGTTAATCATTTATGATTGACGCATACATACATACATACATACATACATACATACATACATACATACATACATACATACATACATACATACATACATACATACATACATACATACATACATACATACATACATACATACATACATACATACATACATACATACATACATACATACATACATACATACATACATACATACATACATACATATATACATACATACATACATACATAAATATGCATACATACATACAAATTAAGAATTTTAATGTCAAAATTCTCTAAATTCTTTAGTTTCACTTATAAGTAAACATTTTCGATATTTCCATCCATCTGTAAAGCAGATGAATTTTTTTGATTTTTTTACTTCACACTATCATGAAACAAAAAAATTAAAAAAAATAAATAAAAGTAAATAAACGACTAAATAAGTGTAGTCAAAAATTAAAAATATATCTAATTAACCAATCCATGCTAAAAACTTAAATTACTTTTTTGAAAATTCTTATAACAATTTATAATAATTTTTATAGCCAATAATATTTAAACTATGGTATTTCATGGTATATAATCGGTTATCTGTTAAGTATATATTATAACTATAAAGAATAGGTATAAAAAATAAAGTATGATTATAAATTATAACAGTTTGTAATCTTTTTTATCAATATAATATATATTATAATATAACGGTTATTATTGACAACGTATATAAAATAAAGTAAAATATTGATCGCTATCATCAATAAAAGTGTTACAAATATTATATAAAATATCAAAATTATAGTCGTTATTATTTATACTTATTACAATTATTTATATACATTTCAAATTGAAAATAGAAATTAAATATAATTTGAATAGTAGATCTCAAAATTGTTTACCCCAGCAAAGAATTTTTGAAAAAAAGTGAAGGGATTAGACGGAAGTTTTTTATTTTTGTTGCTTTAAAAAAATTTTTATAATCTTATAAAAAAGGATTACATAATCCACCACGAACCCACCACCAACCACCACCACCAACGTAAGAAAAAGCAGAATCCTCAAGGCTAATTGTAACTGCATAATAAAAACATTCATTATCAATAGTTTTTATTAAAATATATTTTATTCTAATAAATTTTACAAAAATGTTTGCACAAATTTTAAATGTCTCCTAAAAGTGTTTTTAAACCTGTTTAAGACAAAAACTATTATAGACAGCTTTATTAAGTAAACATTGAAATGCTGTTTGTATTGCATACCATGTTTAAAAACAACCTAAGCGCATAACTTTAAAAGGATACGAAAACCTTATCGCGTTTACTCAAAAAATATTGATTGAAGTAAACAAACAAATTGACTTAGCGTAAAATAAAAAACGAATGTTTTGTTGTTTTTATTTAAAATTAATACTATTAAATAAAAAAAAGAATTTTTTCTATAGTTATGAGTGTAAATATTTTAAACAAAAAAAGAAAAAACCCTGTATTGTGCGTATGTTCTTAGTTACACTATTACGGTATACATTTTAAGTACTTGGGGATTTTTAATTATTTCAATGTTTACGTGAAATAATGAATCAAAGCATTTCATCAACGGCTTTTGTAGCTAGCGCTGAAATAGCTAAAACAACTACAATCACTAGTGACGGAATCGTAAAAGGTACATTATACATTTTGCTGATCTTGTTTGTTGTGTTTATTAACGTCATGGTTATGCTGTCTTATTGCATCAGAGAAAAATCAAAACGAAGTATACCTGAGGTTTTTATTTTAAATTTAGCCGTTTCTTCCTTGCTTACGTGTGCGTCGGTAATACTTATAGTTGCTTATATTCGGATGGTAAATCTAGAAAAACGAGAAGAAGACTTTTTTTGTAAAGTTCAGTGTTTTTTTGGAACATTGCTTAGGTTAACTGATGTTGGAACGACAACAGGAGTTGCTGTGGACCGTTTCATTGCTGTTTATAAACCGATAACTTACCGTACGCGAGTTAAGCTAAAACATGGGTATATACTCAGTGGAATCTTGTGGTTAATATGCATTACAATAGCTGCACTACCTTTTTTAGGAATTGGCGGTGTAGATAGAGGCTTGCTATCAATATGCACTGCAAACTGGAGATCAGAATTTACTTTAATAGTACTTTCAGTAACATACTCTCAGTTTATTGTTGTTTTAGTGTGTTATATAGGTATTTTTAACTGCATTAAAGGTTTCATTGGACGTAAAAAAGCAATGATAAAATCTCAAATCACTAGTTACAGCCCTCAAATTACAAAGATTGTAGAAATCAATGAAAATCCACGAAGAGATCTTATAAATATTGTTAAAAACTCATTCGTAGTTAGTAATGAACCAAACCACCTTCAAATAACTTCAAGTGAAACTATATTGGGTACGGATGAAATAACTGTTGATGAAACAACCTTTAATGAACCCAATGAAACAACAGCAGAAGAAGTAATACAAGAAAATATAAAAAAAAATATAGTTACATCAACATCTCATAAAGTCAATAGAGTATCTTGGTTAGGTAAAGTAAAAAAAGATCTTGTACCTGATATTAATGAGCTAAAAATTAATCTTAAAAACTCAAATATTATTGAAGACGAGTCTATTCTACGTGTGAATTTAAGAAAAAAAAGTAAAAGGATTTATAAAGTAAAAAAGTTAAAAAGGTTTAGTGCAATCATGGCGGACAGATGGAATGCTGTAAAGATACGTAAAAGAACATCAAATATAAAACATATAAAAGAAAGTCAACGTTTTGCGAAAGTGATGGGAATCATTGTTTTGATATTTTATCTATCATGGATGCCACTAGCAGTAAGTATTTTTTAATGAGTAAAAAAGAAATAGAAAATTAAGAGGAAGAACTCAAGAATAAAAAGATTGCACTTGAATTTTATTTTAGATTTCGATAAACGTTGTTTACACAGATGCGCTTTCAAATGAGAAAGAACACGATTTATTGCAAATAGGATACAACATAAGTATGTTTAGCTCAATCGGCGTTCCCATCGCTTTCCCTGTAATGTGCAAACCTTATCTTATTGGTTATAAACGGATTTTATCATGGCTTTGTAGAAAAAAAAAATGCAAATGAGTATTGCAATCACAGGTAATTATAAATAAAAACAGCTAATTTTGTCATAAAACAATCTGTTATTAAACAAACAAGTTTTACCAATTTATCAAAAAAAACTAATTTTTAATTTTTTAAATTTTACTTTTGAAAACTAGAAAAATGTTTAAAGTAGAAAAAATCAAAAAGATTTCTAGATTTTATTACTTTATACCCACAACTTTTAGTGACTGTAAAAATGATATTATTTTGAAATAACATAATATCCAAGTGCAAGAGTTTTTGTACATATATTGTTATTATTATTATTATTATTATTATTATTATTATTCTTACTATTATTGTTATTAATACCATTATTATTCATAAATCCTTATGCAGTATAGGCCAATTAATATTAAAAATTGCTTTTTATAAATGCCCTGTTATATAATTAAAATATTATTATTTAAAATGGTAATACACTAAAGGTTAAAAAGTTTCACTTTGTAAGGTTTGCGTCGTTTGTTACGCCTTGTAGGGTTTGCGGTGTTATATATTTTTATGATACGCCTTGTAGAGGTTTGTTACGCTTTGTAGGGTTTGTGACGTGTGTTACGCTTTGTAGGGTATGTGACGTGTGTTACACTTATAGGGTATGCGATTTTTGTGAATGTACAAAAAATTTATCTAAAGAAATGCGCATAGTTTCAATTTTTTTCTAATTTGCCAAAAAATTTTGCTTATTAAGCTAAGATAAAAAACTAAATATAATTTTAAACAATATATATTATTTAAAAAAGGTTAAAAGAGTTTATTAAGGATTTTTTTTATTACTTAAAGTAATAAATTTTATTATTAAATATTTAACAAATAAATTTTAATACTTAAAGTAAAAAAACAATAGTAAGGTTTACTTAAAATAACTTGCTAGGTATAAATTAATTTCTAAACTTTAGTATGTTTATAATAATATCATAATTTAGTGCGTAGCCTGAAGCTGTGGTGATTAAATCTGAAGCTATGGTAATTAAATGTTGAGAACATAAAAGTAAACATCAGCTACAAGTATGAGTATGTTTGTGGGGCGGGGAGAGGGGATGAAAGTTTTGATAAAATTAACTAATCTCCATTAATTATCAACGATTTTCTCTACGTTTAAACTGATAAGACAAGTCGGTTTTTTGAGGAATATAATTGGCTAGTCAGGTATTTGACACATTTTCAGTCAATTTTTTGAGGACTTTACTCATTTTACTCATTATTAATAATATTGATAAATTAAAAGTAAATTTTTAAACCCTGAATTAAAAAATACCAACTTAACTTAATATACTTTGTGGTTTATATTTTGTATTTAATATGAATTTAGTGTTTTCAAACTTTGGTATGTGACAATACGAAAAAAATTGTTTGAAACCAATAATATTAGAATCTTAAAAGCCTACTTATTTAATTTTTCAAAAAAATTCTCAAATATAAACGGTTAAGTAATTTAAAAAAAAGAAGTTCAGAAAATTGAATTGAAATTCAAAAAAACTTAGTCATGATTATTAAACATCAAAACTAAAAAATTCAGGAAATGAAATTAAATTCATTTTAATGAGTTTATAAAAATGTATTTAATGACACTCTAAGGACCAACATGAAAAAGCCGAAATCGGTCTTAATGTATCCGTTAAGGAAATTATAGCCATGCAGCTTTTGACCGCACAAACATTAACCTACTGATATTTATTTTGTTATTTTGAGTAGTTGATATTGGTGGTAAAACATTGGTTTTAAATAATAAAATTCGTTAATTATTGTAAAACTTTTCATTTATAATTTAGTACATAACTAAAATACAATTTTACTTTATTATAACACGCATCATACAGAACTTTAAAACTCCGATGCTAAAGTGTTACCGTTGTATATTCTTAACAGTTTTTTTTTTATACAGCACACACACTCACTAACACTCACACACACACACTTAAATATATATATATATATATACATACATACATACATACATACATACATACATACATACATACATACATACATACATACATACATACATACATACATACATACATACATACATACATACATACATACATACATACATACATACATACATACATAGATACATACATACATACATACATACATACATACATACATACATACATACATACATACATACATACATACATACATACATACATACATACATACATACATACATACATGCATACATACATACATACATACATACATACATACATACATACGTATATATATATATATATATATATATATATATATATATATATATATATATATATATATATATATATATATATATATATATACATATATATATATATATATATATATATATATATATATATATATATATATATATATATATATATATATATATATATATATATATATATAATAACTATAATTTCTATTTGCTATAGCGGCTATAAAAACGAACCCGTAAAATGAAGTCAAGATTTTTGCAACAACACGTCTTGATAAAGCAAGTCAATCTTTTCTAATTTAAATTATATAAAAGACTGGATGGATAACTCGAAGAATTCAAGCCATGAAAAGAAGTGCAAAATTCGCAACTTTTAAATATAGAGATATAATCTAAATAACGACCAAAAAGATGGGTTTTTACAAATACCGAAAAACAAGAAATGAATAAATAGTTATTTTGAAGAATTTTTTATAAAAAAGACTTTAAAACGTTTTTTAAAAGAAAAATCATAATAAGTATTATTAAAATCATATACTCTGGAACTTATGAAAATAAATTTTTTTAATGTATAGAGATATAATTACACTTGAAATAAAAAAAGAGCTCTTACAATAGAAATATATTAAGCAAGATCACTTCCACTAATAATGCACTTTATAAACTTCACAATAAAAATACATTAAACAAAATTGTTTAATGAAATTTAAGGCAAATTTTCTTGAACGGTGAACTAACTTAGGAGTGAGCTAGTTGCAGAAACTCTTCCTAATACCTAGTGCCTTTTAATTTTAAAAAGTTAGATTAATTAAAAAAATTCATTTACACTGTCGCTAGGTAAGAACAACAACCAAACAACAACAAGATATTTATTTTCCTCAAAATTTACAATCATATAATTACAATTATATATTAATAATAATAATAATAATAATAATAATAGCAATAATGATAATAGCAATAATAATAATAACAATAATAACAATAAGAATAAGAATATCTATAAATATTATAAATAATAAAATCAAAATATAATTATTAAAATTAAATATAAATAATAGATTGAGGAAGGAGTCACTCATGCAGAATCCTGATCAAACGAGTGACACCAAATAATTATATTAATAATATTAATTTTAAAAATAATGATAATAACAATAATAACATTATTCATTAATAGAGCAAAAGTAACAGCAAAAATAATAGTATTTATAATAACTGTACTATTAATAGTAATATAAAAAACAGCAGTAATGAAAGTAATAAATACTAAAGACAAAAACAATAAAGTTTTTATAGAAATAGTATGAAGAGAAGAAAAATTAGAAAACTACAAGAAGTTAATAATGACAAAAAATTATAATAAAATTTTTTTAGAATTTGTTTAAATTTATTTTGCTTTAAATAAAGAAATGAAGATAACTTATTTTGAAATTTTAATTTTTTCAAACTCATTTACAATGCACACAAGATTTCGATTCCATTCACTAATGCACTGATGTGTAATTGAATTCTTACCATACACAAGGCCGTCCCGAAGAGGTCTTCCATGGGGGAGGGGGGGGAGTAAGTATTTTTTTGCTAACAAAGCTAAAAAAAAAAAAAAAAAAAAAAAAAAACCCTCAATATTTGCAGTTTGCTAACTCTAAATATAGCCAACTATATTTATATTTAAATTTGCCAACTATAAATTTAATATAAATATAGTTGGCAAATTGCCAACTCAAAAATTATTTCAGTTGGCACATTGAGCAAAACTTGCTCAATGCCAACTCAAATGCTTTCTTTTAAAAAAAAAAAAATGCATTAAAATGAATTTACCAACTCATTAAAATGAATTTACCAACTACAAAACCAGTTTGCCATATTTTTATAGTTTAAAACTTGCTCAATGTGCCAACTCAAATATTTATATAACAGCGTTGGGGGTGGGGGGTGGTACAACCCCGACACCCTGCCTTCGCGACGGCCCTGACCATACCTCAAAGTTTTTTTAGGTAGGTACATTTAGTTTTCCATTATTGATGTTTCTAGTTAAATGTGAATGTATAAATCGAGTTTCAGCGAAGAATGTTGTAACTGGGGAAAGTAAATTTTTATTAAGGTAGTCAAAAACAAAAAGAAGATTAGCAAATTTAACTAGTGCTGACACGGTAGGAGTTTTAAGTTTTTTGAAGAATTTTGAAGTATCTGTATTATGAAGTTGAAAATTAATTATTCTGATTGATTGATGCTGAGCTGATAGCAATTTATTAATATTACAGTTTCCAATTTGTCCCCAAACTTGTTAACAGTAGTTGAGATGAGACTGAAAAATTGAAAAATACAGATTCTAAAGGGTAGTTTTATCAACATAGTGGCAAATTATTGAAAGCATTCCATTAGCTCGATTCCCGGTGGGCACGGGACCTAAAAAAGACGTCTTTTGAATGTTCAAAAGACGTCCAAAACGTTCAAAAGACGTTCAAAAGACGTCCAAAACGTTCATAAGACGTTTAAAAGACGTCTTTTTTACGTCCGTGCCCACTGGGTTAAGTTTTTTACGGAGTACATCTATATGAAAGTTCCATGAGAGGTTTGAATCTATAAAAATACCAAGATATTTAATAACGTGTGTTGGATATAAAATTTTAATTTTAGTTATATCATTGTTGTATAAAATTTTTTGTCTCGGAGATAAAAAAAATATTAGTTCAGTTTTTTCAAAGTTCAGAGAAATTAAGTTTGCATTTAGCTAATGAACTAAACCTTTTAGGTTTAAGTTTATATTCTTGCACAAGGAATGATGAGACTTATTAATATGTAAGATATTAGTATCATCAGCAAACAGATGGACTGATGAGAAGTGGACAGAGATCTATTATTTAGATCATTAATATAAATCAGAAACAATAAAGGGCTAAGAACAAAACCCTGGGGAACACCGCAAACTAAATGTTTGTTATTTGATTTGTAACTATTAATGCTAACAAACTACTTTCGATTTGAAAGGTGAAATTGAAACCAGTTACAAGCAACTCCTCAGATTCCGTAATGCTCAAGTTTAGAATTTAAAATGGTATGATTAACGGTATCGAACGATTTTTGTAAGTCTATAAAAACGGTTACATTTATTAATGCGTGGCAAGTAGAGATTTTGATCGAAATCCAAACTGAAATTCATTTAAACAGTTAAAGGAATTCAAAAATGAGTATAATCTAGAGTACATTAGTTTTTCAAGGAGCTTGCTAATCTTATAAAGAATTAAAATTGGTCTATAGTTAATACATGAGAGCTTTGAGCCACTTTTATATACTGGAATGACACAAGATAATATCAAAATGTCAGGAAAAATTCTATTTAAGATGGAGATCTTGAATAGCTTAGGAGAATATGAGAAAATTCAGAATTAATATCATTAAGAATGTTTGTCGGGATGCTGTTAGGACCTATTAATTTTCTAGGTTTTAAATTAGATATAAGTGATGAGATTTCAGAATAGTTTTTTGGAGATATCAGTAAACTATGAAGATTTGGATGTTTAAGATACTTTTATAGCTAATGTAAGATGAGTGAATTTTAGAATTAAGTTTATGAGCTACATTTGTGAAAAAGTTATTGAATTCTTTACAGATTAGAGCTGGTTCAGTTATGTATGTTTTGTTAACTTGTAAGCAATCTGGAGGTACATTATTGACATTTTTGACATTTATTAGACTTTCTATGCCTAGCCAGGTCTCACAAAGATTTTTTATATTTTCTGAAAAGAAATTTTTGAAATGTATTTTTTTACTCATTTTTATCAGCTTAATAATAGTATATTTATAGCGTTTAAAAAAAGTTTTTAGCTTAATTATATTTGTTGGATCTTGAAAGTAATTATAGTTCGTAACATGATACCTGATGTTACAGTTGAACTGTCTTAAATTGCCATTGGTGAACTGGATGATCGGTAACAATCATCAAAAAAGATTTTGGTGACATTTAAAAAAAAAACAATATTTGTTTTAGAAAACTTTTCTAAAAGAACTTTGGCATAACCATTATGAAAGCTCCTAATAAAGCAAAACCATTAATTTGACGTCAAAGCTGAGTCTAGGCACTAAACTTTGTAGCTTTGAAAGCATATTTTCAAATATCACTTTTCATTCATTTTCATTCATAAAAATATATTACTTAAAAGATCCAGTGGGTCAAAAGCAGACCATCAAGCTATGCGCTTAACAGTGAGCTAGAGGGTAGATAAAGTGTGAAAAATCTTACTTTACTGATCTCTTACTTAATTTTAGTTTCTATATAAATTTAGAGAATTTTGTCGGTAGTTAATATAATCCTTAGTTGCGTTGACTCTACTCTTCAACAGACTCTACTCTGCATTATTGTCTATAATCAAGTTTTATAATATTTTTAATGTATTTGTCAGTTCATTACAGTATTATTTATCTTTTTTTTTTTTAGCAGAAATAATGAAATAAGTACGATATCATTTTAAACATAGACTAAAATGTGAAGGCAAAGGTGTATTTTTGCAAATGCAACAGCTTATATTCTTTAACTTTGATGTAAAAGATGAAAATAATTATCATAATAAAAGCTATAGTTTTGCTAAATTCAATGAGAAATCAAGTATATATTATATATTTACTTTATATATTACGATTACGTTATTTCCACAGGCGTAGATATGAAATTTGACAGCTTCAACTTATTGCTTTTATGAGGCGGATCGAATAAAAAAAGACTTATTTACAAACAAAATTAGTCTGTTTTAGTTTCAGTATATACTTCAAAAATGTCAGTGAAAAGGTATATTATGGTATCTGAGCCAGCAATACCAATAACAAAAACAACCAAAAACTACAACAACAGCAGTATCAATAAGAGTGATAAGACTGCAAGACTGATTAAAAGTTCAATGATTAACTCTGAATAAATTTAATGTTGTAGTTCGCACACTTAAGATAAAATTCAATTCTGTTGATAATGCTCTTGAGTTATCAAGCCCAATCAATCAATTTTATGCTCTTGAGTTATCAAGCCCAAATACAGTTCTATAAATAGTTTGTAACTTTACAATTTATGATGAGAACTAATACCATTAGATGATGTTGTGTCTGTAACTATTTACTCATAGAAAAATTTTAAATGATCAAAATCAAAGAACAGAATGATTTAATTTGAGTTGATTGAAGAGTGTGTTAAAATTTCAGGTTCAATTAGTTCGTATATTCAGTTGGAAGATTTATCCTTTTCGCTTTAAAACACTAAGCTTCGCAATCCTACTTACAAAAGAAAGAGATTGTTAATCCGCAGGGGAAAATGCAGGATTTGTATGGGCGTTACCTATTTTTTAATACAAACCTCTTTGCCAGTAGAGGAAGTAAAAAGGAGAAAAATTGAATGGTGGGCAAGAAGTTAATGCAAACTTTTCCAGCTATGCATCCCATAAACTTAATTTAGTGTTTCGTAAATCGTGT